ATTGTAGAAAATGAATAAAAGGTTCAATCAGAGCCGGGCGTCGTGGCGCACCCCTGTAATCCAGCACTCGGGAGACTGAGGCAGGAGGATCTTTGTGAATTTGAGGCCAGCCTGCGCTACAAAGTCAACTCAAGGCCAGCCTGAACTGCATAGGACATCCTGTCTCAAAAATAGAAAAAAACAAACAAAAATAAAAATAAAAGGTTCAATTACTAGGCTCTTGTCAAAATACTGAAGTCGCTGGGGATACAGCTCAGTAGTACAGCACTTGCCTGGCAAGCACAAGGTCCTGAGTTTGATTCCTAGAAGAAAAAAGCCAAAATGTTGAAGTCTATGCCATTTTAAATGGTAAACAAATAATCACATTAATTATTTGCATCATAATTTTGGGGGGTTGTTTTGCTTTGCCCTTCTTGCAGTACCAAGGACTGAACCCAAGGCCTTTGAACTGAACTACATCCCTAACCCTTTTCTGATTTTTTATTTATTTTATTTATTTTATTTTTGTCTTTTTGAGATAGGGTCTCTCTAAGCAGTTCAGGCTGGCCTTGAGTTCACTTTGTAGCCCAGGCTGGTCTCAAACTTGCAACAATCCTCCTGCCTCAGCCTCAAGAGTGCTGGGATTACAGGTGTGCACCACCATGCCCAGCTGATTTTTTATTTTTGAGACAAGGTCCCAGTAAGTCATTGAGTGTCCAGGCTGGGCTCAAACTTGCAATCCTCCTGCTTCAGCCTCCCAGAATGCTGGGATTACAGGAATGTGCTATCAGGCTCCACTCATAGCTCTGAATCTGTTATCACTTTAATAAAATTCTCAAGTTATTGATACAATTTTCCTACTAATTTATCCGCAAACATCAGTTCAGTTTACTTACAAATTTTATCCCTCCCTCATGATACTTTAAAAGGAGTAAACTCTTAACAAACTTCATAGAACCCACAGCATCAAATGTCTCTGTCACAAAGCTGAGTCTCTTGGCTGCTCTGCAAGTCAGTGAAAGAATGAGTCGGTTTCTTAAGCGTTTGCTAAAAGTAACTGCGTGCTCACATTTCCCTCTCTTCAACTGCACAGGCTTTTGGTGATATAGCCCTGCTAACATATGAAACTACATGGTTACAGAGAATAAATATTAGGTATCAAAGAGCACAAACACTACAATATCTCTTCAAAAAGCAATAAAAACTAAATCTTAAAAAGGCATCAACAAGCTGGGCACGGTGGCACACACCTGTAATCCCAGCACTCAGGAGGCTGAGGCAGGAGGATCTTGCAAGTTCAAGAACAGCCTGGGCTACAAAGTGAGCTCAAGGTCAGCCTGAACTGCATAGGGAAACCCTGTCTCAAAAAAAAGACATCAACAAACCTACACCACCAGACAACTAAAAAGACATGCTTCCGTGTTATATGATCTTAGAATTCATTTTATTTTAAAACATGACCCTTGAGAATCTAAATCAAGGATTTGGGAATCCTAATTTGAAAATGAAACTGAATGCACAGAACCTATTTAAATTGAGAAAAGGCTGATGGGAGCTTGTACCTAACTATTCATTCTTGTGTAAACTGTGAGCACCTCCAGATAAAGCATCTCTAAATAGAGGGAAGAACGGCCTAGTAATGCAAATAAAAGAATTTCTTTCTTCCCAAAGTAGTGAAGCCATGGAGCAAACCTTTATCTGAAAATCCGGAGATCCATAATTAGTTAACCTTTAAACTTTTCACAAATTGTCTTTTCCAGATAACCAAGGGCATCCTTCCAAACGCCGGGTTACACAACGAACTCAACCTCAGGAGTTTGTCCATAGCCACCTCTCAATAGTCCACTGAAAAGTTATAAATCCCAACTAGTTTCTATTGTGCAATATACAGATTCAACATTATAGCCATTATTCTACTGTGTGAAGTCTTCCTGCCGCTGTAACAAAGTACCTCAGATGGTAATTTATAAGCAAAATAAAGGAGGCTGGAAGTCCATGATTAGGGAGCCAGCAGGTTTCCTCTCCGGTGAACCGTCAGTTTCTCACAGATGGAACCATCAAGATAACCTCCTGTCAGAACACCATGAGCTACAATAACCATTGATAATTTCCTACCACTTTGTCTGTAATTTGGTAAGGCCCCCCCCCATTACTATGTTATCCTTCTTTGACTCTTTAAAATTAAAAAATAAATGAAGAACACAATGAGCTTAGGCTGGTTCTCTCCCACCCTTTAGTAAGGCAGAGACCTCAAGACTCAATCACTTCCCCAAAGCCCTCACCTGGTAACACTATCGCAGTGGAAATTAAGTTCTGACATGAGAATTTTAGAAGGAACACATTCAAACCATAACACCCACTTTTCAACTAAATCTGATATTTTAAAATAGACTTTCATGGTCTCAAGGGGCCCCGACTAAGTAAAAACTCAAGGATTGCTTTGATTTCTCTTTAATTAAAATGTATGCTGAGAGGAAAGCCAGTGTATGACATTGAACCAGGAAATGCTGGGGAATACAAAACGTACTTCCCTCTTCATTAGCCAATAGGTAGAGTTTTAATTTTAGATGAAATTATAATTAGAAATAATGTTATTTCTTGAGTCACTCCACCTTTAAATTATATTTCATTGAGGCTTACCCTTTCAAATTACTAATCATTAGCCTATCCTGTTCATATGAGCATTAGGGAACCCTCATAATTGTGGCATTCCTTACACATAAAAAGAAAAACTTGTGTACATTTGAGAGAAGTTTCTACAGATAGCACAATTTTAAAAACCACTCCACCCAGGGACGGTTGTAAAAGTGTGCATTTTATTCATTCCATCAGCTGAGAACTGCTATTTTACAAATACAGTATTGTACAAAAAAATCACAAAATGTTACAAAATAAAAAAGTACAAACTCATTACTTAATAAATACGACTAAAAGTAGTTAAAGTGGAAATGAGATAGATTTTAGATTTGGAGATACTGTTTGACCCAGCAAACCATACAAGCTGTTTACACACATTTTTACATGATAGAGGCAATCCTACTTTGTCTTTTCAACTTTAAAGGAACACACTATTAAGACTATTCTCCTGCTATAAAAATAATGCCAGTGATGGTTCCAGACAATTACGCTATCAGTTTTTAAATCTCTTAGTTGAATTCAAGAAGCTATTTAAAGCAAGAGACTTCTCTTATCACAAAATTTTGTAACATGTTAAAATTCTTCCGTAACAAAATGACAAATGTAAATAAAAAGAGCACCGGACAATCTACTCTAAACACAGCCAGAACACAGAATCATCATTCTGTCATCAGCAAGGATCAGACCTGCATTCAAGACCTGGTACAACCCCATAAAGAAAAAGTCTTCCCACATCCATGCCCCTTAAGTGTTTCAAGACTGACCATTTCTAGAAAAACAACAATTTCCAAGACAAAGAAGCTGTTTCAACAAAATGGAATGGGCCAATCATCTGGTAAGGAGAGTACGTCAATATCCACTTGAAAAAATTATCTAAGAATTGTGAAATTCAAACTCCAACATAAAGTAACTACTAAATCACACAGCTGCTCAAAATAATCCATTTCATAGAAAGCACTTCTCCGGATTGAAGCTTGAAATCGGAACACATCGTAGATGAAGGTCCACCAATTGTTTAAAATGTGCAAAAATACATTTTTATAGAAAATAGACTACAGGGAATGAACAAATTTATTATACTGTGAGGAATCAGCTTGCAATTGAAGTAGTGCTCATTTTGTACAGCAAATTATAAATAGCAGTAGGACCACCCAAAGCTATCAGGAAACATCGTTTAGGTGCCCAGCAACCTTCGGCTCTGAGAAAACATTCCAAGAAATGATTAAGGCATTACACCTACAGAAAAATCTACTATAAAATTTGAAAGTGCTATTACCCTGATTAGAGTTCATGTGATTCTCCAAACATAAGTTAAGTATGCGATTTCCCCACGGGGTGAAGGTTTCCAGACATTTCAAGAGCATGCGTTTTGTTCAATATACATTTTGGACAGAGAGATGGCCATGGACTTGGCAAGTTCTTCATCGCGTTTTCTTTGCACTTGGGTTTGTTTGCACCAACTGTCATACTCTGGGTTAGGATACGAGTGATCGAACACCGCATCATAGTGTCCATTACTAAGCCAGCTGAGCCAAATACTAGGCCTTAAGGAATCTTCCGGGCCCAGATAGTGAATCATGGTAGACACTGTGGGGCTCTCCAACCTCCCGCCAGTAGTTAGGTGTATATTCACATTCAGCATCTGCCCCATCGCCAGCAATTCGGGGTACCCGGCCCAAGCCCCGTCCTGGGCAGCGGCGACGATAAACTCCCCCACGTCGCCCTCAATCAGGGGGTTAAAGTGGTCGAGGTGGTCGGCGATGTAGTGCACGGTCTGCTCCCGCAGCTCGCGGTGCAGGCTCTGGTCGCCGTACACGGCCTTGCTGACAGCTCGGTACAGGCAGTTGCCGTCGGGGATGATGTGGAACCGGAACTTGTTCCTCTGCCGCAGGTACTTGTCCTGCCGCTCCACCTCGGCCAGGTACAGGGCCAGCTTCTCGTCTCGGGGATCCGATCTGGACACCACGACCGTCTCGGCCGCGCTGCCGGGCGCCGCGTCGCCGCTCCGCGCTGCGGGCGCCTCGGGCTCCTGTTCAGGGCGCCGC